ATAAAAAGATTGCTTTAAAATGCTTCAGTAAATATGGAAACTTTAGATAAATATATGGAAGAAATTCAAGTTGTCCAACTTGATAAAAAGCCAATTTACTTATAAATCGCATCATGTTATCCTATGATTTTACAAACTTGATAATGGGGGGGAGTACTGTATTTGGTATTTTGCTTTTCTTCACTTACCATTTTGTGAGCCTTTTTCTTTGTTTTTAATAGCCTTCAAAAATGTTTTTAATAGCTGCAAATATTATAGGCTATATACAAACAGTTTTAATGCTTTCATTATTTTTGACAATTTCTTTGATCATAAATTAAACTTATGTACATAAATGTTTATCTGCATATCTGATTATATCTTCAGCATAAGGTGCGTGAAGTAGAATTATTGGGTCTAAATGCATATGTATTTTATGACACTTGATGTATATTGTGAAATAAATTTACAGAAAGGTTACACTTTCTCACTATTATTGCAACAATATGATATAATAAGTAGATATAAAACTTAATCCCAAACTACACCTCAGTGCTATTTTATCTCTGTTTACTGGTGAGGTTAAGTTTTGAAAATATGTTTGTTGTGCATTCACCTTTCTATAGTGAATTCCTTGTCATTTGTTCTTTCTCTTAAGCCATTAGTGTTTTTCTTTTAATATATGAGATATTTTATACATGAAACATATATTTGTTACAATTTTTCCAAGTGGTATTTATATTTATGCTTTTATAATATTTTTGCATTCAAAAGCATCTTTCATACACTCAAACTTATTGACCTTTTTCTTTGTGATTGCTTCTATCCCTCTTGTGCTTAAAAAAAAAAAACCTTCCCTATCCTAAGATCAGTAAAATATTTATGTTCTTCAAGTTTTTAAAAATAATTTTAGTTTTATATTTAGCTCTTTAATCTATGTGGAATTAATTTTGATGGGATGAAGGCTTTAATTTGAGCCTTTTCCAAATCGCTCATTTTCTTACCACCATTTGTCAATAAAATTATCTATCCTTTCCCCCATAGGTCTGTGATACTTATCTTCTCATCTGTTATACTTACACACACACACACACACACACACACACACACACGGATCTCTTTCACAAATTGCATTAATCTGATTGAAAGATTGTTTTTAGGGTTGGGGGTGGTGTATAATGGTTCCAAATCTTTTTGTTCCAGATGTTACAAAATTACAATAATTCTTGTTATTGTCTTGACGGACCCGGGGAGAGCAACCGTACGGAGGCATTTAGGACCCAGGGGAAAGCCAGGCTCGGTATAGAAGGACAGAGTCTCTGGCGCACACGCCTCCTACCAAAATCACAGCCCGGCGGAGCCGGGGCTCTCATTCACAGCTTTCTAGAGAAATCTAAGCCCGAACCTGCCAGAATAGGGGATCTCACCTACTCAGCACAGCAGCGAGGACACCTGCAGAAACACATTCCCAAAGCAAGGCTGGGCGGCCGTGTGAAGGTATTTGTTGCCTTTTTTTCTCCCTTCTGTATTTGCAGCGCCTCCCCGCCTTTCCTCCCGCTCTTGCGATGCTATGGCTGCGGCGTTTCAGCACTTCTGTGCGTGGACAGCTCCCATCTGCAATCCCTCTGCACTCCATCCCTCAGGCACCCTATTCTTCGCCGCCTCCGCGGTCCATCCTCCTCCCCGCGCCCGCTCAGCCTGCGCTCCCTTACACCATCAGCACCCCCATCTCCACCATCATCATCATGATCTCCACCATCACCAGCGCCTTAACTACAGTCAACACAACTGTGTCTTGTCACTTAGAGGAAGCCCGAGGTCCGCAGGGTAGAGGAAAAGGGCTCAAGTTTTCTGACATGGAAAGGAAAGTTCAGGTGGACGACACCTCTGAAAACAAAGAGAGACGCCTGCTTGCGAGAAAGGGAAAGTGAAGACAGGAGAAAGGGACCCCGGGGAAGGGGGACAGATGGGGCACTTGCCAGACACCAGCAGTTAGCCAGCTGCCTTTCAGCAGATTAGGGACTGTTTAGTTCAGGAAATTGACATGGCCTGGGGCGTCGTGTTATTCCAGTAAAACAGATACATAAACTCAACCTGTGTTTCTGGTTTTCCAATGGAGAATCACCAGGAAGCAGGGTGGGGGTGACTGATGACTCATATTCACCCACGTTCCGTTTTCCGTTCTTAGCGTTTAGAGCAGAAACTCTGGAATTAAGTTTTTCACTAAAATGTTTTGTAAAATGGAGACCTCAAAGGTTAACTCTGTGCCCAGAGTGAAAATTTAAAATGATGGTCATGATAATAACCTAACAAATGCGGCTCTCCTTGGAAAGTGCTATTTGTTGAAATGTCTCTTCCTGTCTACTTATTTCATTTCAAATTTCCAATCTTAAACCTCTCTTTGAAGCAGAGAAGATAGAGCCCTTGCCCAAATGGCCAAAGTAGTAATGATATTCAGAGCAGATGGCCTGGCTTTGTTCACCACTAGTCAAGGACTGACTCAGATTTGGAAGGCGAGATTTTGCGTGCTCTATCAGTAATCAGGCAATAACACCATTTTCCTATAATAGTAAAGGGTAATAGAGTGCAAAAATTGAAAAGGCATTTTACGTAACTGTTCTATCAGGCTCTGCTTTTAGAGTGCTGTCATTTTCTTTTTTAGCTGAAGGGAAGCTGAAACATCTTTTAAACATCTTGAAGGTCCAAACCCAAGTCATAGCACCCCTTTAATTTAGCCAGGAATTTTTTAAAAAATAAGAGCTAACAGACATCAGAAAATGCATGCATGAGCCTGTTATAAATATAAATCTTTGGGTGGGTACTCATTAATCAATTATGACTGAATAGCAAAGTATTGGTTTTCTTTTTTGGCAGATTGTTTTTCCATAAAATCAACATCTTAATTAAAAATTATATGGATCATATTTCCATATGGGAATAATGTCAGGTCACAGGTGAAAACCAAGTTGAAACCAGAGCACAGAAAAATGTTCATTTAAAAATCACCCTTGTACATTTATTCTGCCTCTTTAAAAGGAGACAATAAGGCAAGTTTCATCTAAGCCAGCTTGCTCATCATTAGAGGCATTATCAAAAATAAAGAACAGTCACAAACAAGTATCCTTTGAAAGAAGTTCTGAGGAAAAATTCACATGAAATACTCTTCTCGAATGAGGAATAGTAGTATTTTTTTCTAAAGTTACTTACTGCTATTAATTACATAAACATTGGCACAATTCTATCTGCCTGTTAGGTGCACTTAATTTTAAACTCAAATCATGGAAACTAGTGAAAATATGTGGTGAAATGGATTTTAGAGAAGAATATTTGGTCATCTATCTACTGTCCTTAGATTGGTAATATCCACAGCAAACAGTACCTCTCAAGTCCCTAAGCAACAAGATTCTTAGAACTCCCTTATCTGTCTGCAAAGAATGGTTCAGCCCAGACAATTTCTAAATGTGTATATATTGCCAGCTTTAGCTTCTTTGAACCAGAAACTCAGGCCAGAAATCCAGTGCCTCCTATGTTGCTGTCTTCCTGTGCTTAATACAATTTCCTGAGGCTGGGGAAATTTCAAAACAAGGCTGTTTCAGTGAGATTTACAGGCATCTGTCCCAGAAGTGATGCCTTTCTCTGACTGAAATACTATGCTGAGCTTATTAATTTTTATAGAGTGCTGCTACCCTGGCTTCTTCTTTCTTTATTTTTTCTGTTAAGGGCTATTTTACTTTTTTCCTATTTTCAATAAGAGAACTTTCTCATTTTTATAATAGATTTAAAGGTGAGCAGAAAACATATTTTCCAGCAGAGTAGCGTCATATACTATCGTAGACACGCTCACAGAGGCACATTCCTTTAGAATCATGGAGTGTGAAGCTGGAAGGTCCTTCATTTCCCCAAAGGGGGAACCCATAACTCTTCAGAACTGGTGGTCTGCCCTTTTCTGCACGCTTTACAAAGGGACACCTACCTTGTTAACCCTGAGCAGTATATTCCTGACTACACACTCCCTCATAGCAGAGCCATCCTTAGTAAATGGATTCCGGCTGGCTTGGGTCTTCTCTGCTTTCCTGTTACACGGTGACTCAGCCAGAGAAGGTAACAACAGAATGAGTATACAAAGCATGAAGTTTGGCCAAATGCAATCAGCCCAGAAATAGCTCTCAGCATTACCAAGAGAGATTTTTTCCCCCCATTACATCCTGCTCCCAAATTTTGATGATTTTGATTATTGTTCATTTTATCCAGATTTCACTGGAATAAATTTGTTTCAGGAGAAGATCCACAGTGTGAATTACTATGAGTCTGCAACCCCTAACATCAGCCCCAAGTGTTATATCCCTCTAGAGAAAACTATGGTTCATTCTCAATCCAAGTTTTTCTTTGCTTAGGAGAAGTTTGTCTTTGGTTTGATTCTTCACAGATGTGGAAATCAACAGGTCACTCTCCTCTCGATAAGACAAACAAACAAACAAGTTTTGTTTATTCAGTTAATAAGTTCATTATTCTTTACTACCTCTGCTGTCTCCCATAGACCTTTATTAAACCTTCTCTGGCAAGGTAACCCTATGCAGTCCCTCTTTATGGACTTATTAGCATGTGACAGGGAGTATCAGAGAAAGTTTTCTGTGTGGGAGGTTAATTTTCCACGACATTTTCTTCTTCCTGACTTCTGAGGCAGCAGGCATCTTTCCATTGTGTTGGAGATGATGTGCTCTTGTTTCCTGGGCCCTTTTAGTCAAATCTCCAATTCTTAGATATTGTGGGGACCACTTTCCCCATCTCTTCTCCTTAAAAATAAGGAGACAATTCAGCTTTTATTATGTCTTACATAAGTTTTTATACCTTTCTATGTGTCAAGTACATAGTATATTCAGTGTTCATTATTTTGTAGTTTTGGAGGCAGTAGAAGGGAGGTCATGGGCCCGGGAATGGCAGATGGGGGCTCCAATCTCAGGCTCTGTAAATAAAAGGCCTCTTCTGATGTGTGGCCAAAATGAAACAAAATAAAAAATTATGTGAGATTTTTTTTCCTCTTTCCTTTTTCTTTTGCTCCTCCTCTTCTCCCTCCCTCCTTCTCACTTTATTTTGCTTCCTCCCTCCTTCCTTTCTTCATTGCTTTTGGTTGCTATTTAGAGCATGCAAGCCTGAGTGAGAACAATTAATGGGGTGGTGTGAGAAGCTATTATGAGTGCTGGTACTCCAAAAGGAGTGAACATATTGGGGATGCTTTTATTCTCTTCTTGGACGTTGTAGCTCTGTCATCCACAGCCAGTGTGAGCTCTAACCTCAACGGCGATTAACCTACCTTCACAATCCCTTTGATTCATTATAAATCCTCTAGACCAGTGCTTTCCAAACATTAATATGTGTACAAATCACCTGGGGATTCCGCTCCCCATTCAGCAGATCGGGGTGGGTCCTGACAGTCTACATTCCTAACAGGCTCCTCAGTCGGTACTGCTGACCACACTTAGAGAAGCAAAGACAAAGAAGTTCCCTTCTTTTTTAACATTCCCACCTTTATATCTGACTATTCAGCAATGGCACTCACACTAAAACAAAACAAAAACCACTCCAAGTGCTGAGGCAATAAGACCTTAGAGATCATAGCTCTACTTGGGGAGAAAGTTACACAAATAGCCCCTTTCCTCCGACCTTGCCCGTATGCGTCCTGCTGCATGTCACTGTCACCAGGCAGTTTTCTTAACTCTGATACCTGCTGCTGTCATCGTCTGCCTAATCATATCCAGAGGAAGGGACCCAGTCACATAGATTTGCTGGGAAAAATACCAATTGGAAAAGGGGACAAGCAGACTTAGGGGCCATCTTTGGGTAACCCTGCCTTTCTTACATCCCTCCAGATCCTCTTCCTCAAAAAGAGCCTATTCTTAGAGAAATAATCTGTTCCAAGTGTTGTTTTTTTCTTTTTCTCCCATTGATACATTTAAGAAGCACAACCAATCTGTTTTTAAAATTGGGGCATTGGCTGCCAGTGACTTCTTATGAGGATAGTTTCGTGGCATAGAAAAACATGCTATTCAAACGCTCTTTTACTTTAAAGCTTTTCTAATACGGTGAGGTAGCAGAAAAACCCACAGCTTCCTTACAAGTTTTGTTTGCCTTCAACTCTTTGCATTACCTGTCCCAAAGCAAACTGAAAGAATAAAAGTTTTATAGATTGTTCTAGAAATTGGGACACTAGCACTCCTGTGTCAAATAGGTCTACTTCATCTGAGGCCCTGCCTATTCTGGTTATGATCTGGCATCGAATTTGGGTAGAAGTTCTCAGCTTCTTCACTCTGATGGAACTCATTTCAATTCACTTTTAATCTTTCTTAAAAGCAGGAACAAAAGGGAGCAGATGACTGTGTGCTTAGTTGCTATTTTAGAGGGAGCCAAGGGAGTCTACACGACGAATATTTATGTGGCAAGGGCAAGCCATGGGCTAGGATGGAGCAAAAGGTGATGAACAGTTGACTGTCAGCCAGGGG